CAGGAGGTCTAGGAAAACAGTTTGAAATTACAGAATTCCTGAATTCATAGCTGGATTCCTGAACACTGGTTCCTGCAAAGTATATCTGAGAAGCTGACAGTATGTCCTTTCTCCTACAGGTGCTTCCCCCATGCAGCCTTACACAAAGGTTAAACAAGCACAGTGTAGCAACTAAACCAGAAATGCTAGGACGAGGATGATACTGAATTAAGGAAAACAGTTTGAAATTACAGAATTCCTGAATTCATAGCTGGATTCCTGAACACTGGTTCCTGCAAAGTATATCTGAGAAGCTGACAGTATGTCCTTTCTCCTACAGGTGCTTCCCCCATGCAGCCTTACACAAAGGTTAAACAAGCACAGTGTAGCAACTAAACCAGAAATGCTAGGACGAGGATGATACTGAATTAACAGATGAATCACAGGGTACTTGAAGTGTGGGTGTAATTCACCATAATTGAAACTGTGGCAAAAAGCAGCATAGCAGCCCCTTTTTTATAAATCTGACCAAAACAAACTCCACTCCACAGATGTACTTCTAGCTTTCACATTTTGAAGGTAAATACAATTATATTTCAAGAATATCTTGTCACTTCAACCACTGGAACAGGTAGATGTTTGTTTCCGAACAGGTATAATATACATAATCTGTGGGTTGCTAAGTTCCAAGATATTTTATGTTTACCTTGATGAAGCAATTCAAGTTATCTTCAGATTTCATAGGGCTTTTGATCTAACACCAAGGAAATACTTTACATGTACATTAGAACAAAGGTATCAAAGCTGAATCACAGAACTAGAGAAGACCTTAAAATCTCCCAAATGCTTCACAGAAATCACAGAACTAGAGAATACCTTAAAATCTCCCAAATGCTTCACAGTTATCCCTATATTTCATTAAATTATTTTCAACTCCAAATGTGGTTGGGAAACAATACCAGAACAGAACTGCACAGCACACTCAACTTGACCAGAACTTAAACATAAAGGACACCATAAGAATGGAAACAGAATGAAATGGATAACGCAAGTGATTTCCCACCACTCTGCAGAAAGGAGTTACAGACACCAGTCCTAGAAATACCTACGTTTTAGTATGAGCCAATGCAATAGCATTAGAAATTAGGGAGGCAGATAGACCAATGGATTTTTTGACATCTTCCAGTATGCTTCCAAGTGCTTGCAGGTTCTTTATGTCTCCCTTTTCTGCCAGAGCCTGGATGAGAGCAACAGCTGCTGGTCTAGTAGGCAGCACACCACTGTCAAGCATTCCTTTTATAACAGCCAAGCCATCTAACAATGGTAAAGAAAAAAGGGGAACAGAAGTCAGTTTTGGTTCAGAAGGCAAACCATGCTGCTGGCATCATTCATCCTACCCTTTTAAAAAACATGCACAGAAAGAAATTATTTTGGTGAACTTCAGCCCTGAAATCACTGCAGTGAATTCTAACTTGAATATATACACATACAAATAAAAATTTTCAACAGCAATTTAGGTGAATGTGCAGTAATATTTCATCAATAAAGAGTATTAAGCTACTTTTAATGTTTAAATAATTTACTTAGTAACCTGCTCAAGGAAAACAGCTGTGCCATTAATGTCCTCCTTTATGACTTTCAAGTCCTGACCTTTTCAGCTTGTTTTTTCTCCAAATTATAATCAATTTTCTTTACTAAAAACCAAAAATGATGAATACTTAGGAATAAGTATAGTATAAAAATGTAGTTCATCATTGTTCATTGCTGAAGTATAGTATTCAGATTTGTCTTTTTAAGTGTGCACCAAAACTTTGCTTCTCAAAACTTACTTTTCTAATAAAAGTATGGGACATATCTTCACACCAGAACAAACACGCAGAACTCAACAGTTTCCTCAAAAACTCCTAAGATTATAACAATTACCTATGTTAAAAACACATAAAGTCAATCTCCATCTGCCACAAATGCCCCAAGGCCAGAGCAGACGAAGTCACCCTCATTTCTCTAAGCAGAATTCTTGTCAATTTACGTTACATGTGAGCAAACACACAAAGACATGTCCCTCTGGTAAAAATCTCTTACTCCTTACCAGCACAGGCAGGATTAATCACAGATGATAATTGTAATACCAAGGGATAACACTTCTAACATAATATACACCCACATGAACTCCACAGCATTAGCATTCCACTTCAATATGCAGGTACTGCAGAAACCAAGTATTAACAAGACAGGAAGAAAAAACATCCTGTGTGCCTACCCTCCCTTCAGTGGAAATTTTCCTTCTGCACCCCCTCCTCCTTTTTAGGGGAAAAATGGAGCAATACCTCAGGGGTAAGATTCACAACATTTAAAAAGCAATCTTAAAACACATGTCAAGTTCAAATTCTCTCCTGACTCTAAGTGTGGACCTCCCTCTAGGAGCACAACCAGCCTTCTCAAGAACAGGGAAAGATTTGAAAGCTGCAAATGTGCAGCACTGCTGCAAGCAATTATGTGCTAGTAGCACACTGGATCATTCTGCAGGTAACTACATGCTTGTGAAAACCAACCATCCAACTTTCAAAATGCTTTCCTATAAACTCTGGACATTTCCTACCATAAAACTGAAGTTCTGACTGTCTAAACTAACCTGGGTTTTACCAAGTTCTTGCTAGAAGATATTGGAGGTCTTGCAAGTACACTTAGGGACCTACATAAAAACTTTTAACTATACCACATAACACAGCAAAGAATGTTGGTAAACTGTATGAGGAAGTGGCAAAAGAAGCAGGTTTTACACAGGTGAAAGTCATCACAAGATGCAGGTCAAATGGAGCTCTCCACCATAAGATTACAAAAACACTGTGACCAAAAATGTTTTGGGTAATGTATGAGACTCAGAAAATGACCAGTATGTTTGAAATACTCACTAGCTTGTGTCTTCTAGGCTTCAGTTGTTAAAAGAGAAGCAGTTTCTTTCACATTGAAATAGAAACATGACTATTCAATGAAAGTACCAGAGTAAAGCTGGTTCAATGCACTAGATGCAGGGAAATATAATTCTGCAAAGCACTGTAATCCACAGACTTCTCGAGAAACTTTTTATTGTGCAAAAGGAATGATTTTTAGCGTGCAGCAAGGAAGAGGACTGATGTGGCAGAGAATTTAGTATGCTAGCTAGAAACCCCCTCCACATTTAGTGCAACAGATTGGCAGAATCTAGAAATGTCAGTGATGTTCTGAAGGGAAGATTTTGGTGTGCAGTATGTAGGAAGAACTGGCAAAACTTCATGGCACATGGGAGAAGAAAAAAGAGAAAATTAATTAGAATAAAATTAGACATGAAGGCCAGGTGAAGGCCTTGAAAGCTGCAAAAAAAAAGATGCCAATAGCAACTGAAACAACTGCATTCATCACAAATACTTCAGCCGATGACACCTGGCAATGACATAAAACTGGGGACTAAATGAGGGAAGAATTTGAAAGAGGACAAGTTTATCAGCTACGGGAAAGAAAGAGTACAAGTGAGAAGATGCATCTAAATGCTCATCTTTGGTATTCTCATGTAGCTGATGATACATGGCTATGGGCTACTACAGCAGCACATAATGGGAATGAAATTTCATGATGGAAGAATCAGAAATGGATATTCTGGTATTTCTTCTTCACGGAGTTCTTCTGGTATGAAAGTAAAACCCAACTCAGGTAATACATTTAATTTGTACATAGCTGCTTTAATGCTTAAAGTTACTGACAAAAATTAAGTATCGGCAAGATACTTGGGCTTGCATGGGGATCAAAGACATAGCTCTGCATGTAGAACTACTGTGCATGCAGAGTTTTCCTCTCTCACAGGAGTTCTACAGCACAGCTAAATAGGTAAGATGTAATGCTGTGGAGCTGAACACTAGGCTGCAAAGCAACCAATGCCAAGAACCAAAACAAAACAACTGCAAACTTTATCCACCATCTTGCTGGGTACCCTTACGTACTCTTCAGCCACCCTTTTTTTTACCTATCATCATTGTTACATTAAAAAGAAAACCAAACCGAGTATTTTGTTACTGTCGGTATTGAGAACTATTAAAAAGTATTTGATTAAGTTTTTAAATCAATATTATAATCATTTAGTGCACAATCATGCACATTTAACAGTCAATTTAACTCATCTGGTATCTCACACAACCAACACAATATGCAAGAAACAACTGCTGGGAATTGTTTCAGATGCTCTAAAGTATGTTAATTTCCAAAGCAAAATGACTTGTGCTGTGAATTTTAACGCACTTGAAAGCCTGTACTTTCTCTCGTTCTGGAGCACAAATTTTGCATGTCTGAAGAGCTGTGATTCATCTTAAGAAAACCCATCTTGTGTTAAATGGAATGGAAACTGGACTAAGTGGTCAAATGACAAGTACATTCATATTCAAGCTGTATTATAAATGCATGTACAGTAATTTACGTCTCTCAGCTACCACAAAAGGCTCTTGATAAGCAGGTAATTTGCTAAATGGACTCCTTTATCCAAGTATTCGAAGGGCGTTACAAGAAAAATCTGCAGAGGCATTAATGTGACGTAAAGGTCAAGCATTGTGACATACCTTTCAAATAATCCCGCCTAACTTGCGATATGATGAGGAGGCTGCTGGCAGCACTGTTCAGTGTGAAGCCCTTGATGTGGGTCTCAGCACTAAAAGAAGCAGACATTTAGAAAGGAATTACTGACATGCTTCTGATACGATAATAAATGGTTGAGCACCAAGGTGAAATTATAAAAACTACTGTTCGTATGTTAAAAATATTGCTGCAAAATATCGACCTGGAGACAGCTTTTGTGTTATCCTGTCAATGGTTATAGAAGGATAATTTTTTTTTGCATTCTGACAGATGACAAAGTTGGAAGTGAGCAACAAAAGAAACAAAGTACAAGATTTTTTTTAAACAATCGGTTCAGATTCTTGAATGCTGACATATTAGATGACTAAAATAACTGCATGCCCTGCATTGTTCTGTTGTATCCTAAGCTGGATACTTTTTCTTCTTTTTTCAATAGTCACCATAATTATAAAATATAAAACTATTCTTTCAGCAATAAAAATGAAACATTTATTTTCAGCACTGTATATTTTAAACATAAACTAAAGCATATTATGAACTAACACCATATCATTTGGTTGATTAATTTTCAAATTTCTGTCATCTAGATGTATACAGGTTTTTAAAGTGAACATACTACATTTGCTGCCTTAGCCACGTTAAAATTGTATTTCGCTTATCAATTCTTTATCTCCTGTAAAGCAAAACTTCACATATGTATAGCAAAGACAATCTTTACTTTAGTAACCCTGCTAAAGCTTGTCTAACACTCTGGAAATTAGTTGAGAGAGACTAACCAGCAATCACATTGGTCTTATACTACAAAATGTTCCTGCTCCTAAATGACATATAGCCAAGCCCCATTTTTAATATATAAGGATAACTTTACAAATGTTCATTTCTAGATGACAAAATCTCTACACAGCAAAGGGGGGCATTGCCATTTACCATATCAGCAATCAAGATAAACCTCACTGATCATCTTGTGGCAAACAACTGAGCAGCCTACCTACTTGAACTTAGGGGCTGAGCGGATTGGGAGGTAAGCAGGGTCATTGCTAAATTGTTCTCCTCAATCCCAAGAAAATCCTTCACATCGCACACAATATGACTATCCTCTCAGTCACTTTCAGCCTCCCAGGCTCACAAATGCAGTCACTGGACTCGGGATTTTCTTACTCTCCCAACCAATCCCCTTAATCCCTGCCTAAGCACCCACTGCTCAATTCCGCCTTTTTTTTTTCCCTTTGTCCCATCTGTCAAAGCCCTTAAGTCAACAATTCATGCATGAGACTGTAAATTACATATAACAAAGGATTTACTTTCCCCAATCTTCCAATCTTTAGTGTGATTAAATAGATGTTAGCTACTATTACAGAAGTAATCCATCATTCCAATACTCCTAAATTTCTATTTAAAACTTCTTGGACTAAATGCAGTAAATATTCCTCAAAACACTGCTAGAATGTGAAAGCAACTTGAGTTGACCAACAGATGAGTAACCTTCTGGGTTGTTTGGTGTTTGTTTTTTAAAAATGCAGAGTAGGAGTGCTATTTCCTTTGCCCACATCACTTTCTCATGGAAGTTTCACAGTTCTGATAAAAGGAGGGAAGTTTTAAAATTACTGCACCTTTTCAAATTAAAACTGAAAAATAGGCATTTTGTTGCCTATCATAATGCTCACAGTAAGATATTATTTAAAGCCCAAATTTGGCTTCAAACAGAATAAAAAGAATATGTTAGCTCATATAAATGAAGGCAACTTTCCTGTACTTTATGAAAATATTAGGAGCTGGGTAAGTTTCAGGCCACTGCACACATCTAGGCTTTGCAGGAGTGATCTCTGTGCAGTATGAGGTTGGAAACATTGTGAAGCATGCAGAAATGTGTGGGAAACACACAGATTTGTTATTCCACAACCACAGGCACACACACAATCACTTTCTCTATTTCAGTGAATAATTTAAAACTTACGGACTTCTGAAAATGCTCAATATAAGTGTCATTTTGTTACTGGAAAAAAGATACACCCATGAACACCACCAATACAAAGCAGTTTCTGTCTGGATGCAATAGTGAGCTGTTACAGCCTCCCTAGAATATCATTATTTGGCATTTCTATGCTACAAATGGAGTCTAAGAGTTCTGAAAGGCACAGGAGTTATGATGATGGTTGGCTCTGACCAGTGACCAAAAGAACCTCTTCTTAAATCCTATTTGCTTTATTAGTAAATATATCAAGGTTCAGAGACTCAGTCCTTTAAAACACAACTCCAACTTTTTTAGTCTTTCAAATTATTTTTTCCTCCATTTTCAGTTTATATACTACAACACTTATCTACTGTGGGAATTTTGAATCACTGAAATACCTGGAACAAGTCACTACCTCATGCACTACTTTGTGCATCTCCCTTACAAGTGTGTTTGAGCTGTAGAGCAGGGAAGCAGTCAATCCATGTGCAAATCTTCAGTAGAACATTTCAAACTTTCTCCTTTAAGAACTTTTCAATACATCTTTAGATATGTGAATATTTTCTGTGAAATAAACTACCTAAATTTTATCCACATTCTTTATACTCCTGAAACACCTCCTCTTCATCTTCTGTTTACAGAGATTTGTCAGTTACTTCCACTGCAGGAAGCTTAATTTGATAAACTGTTTTAGTTTTCTCTTGACATAAGCCATATATCCAGCAAGGACAAACATTCCTTATCATAAAATCCAGTCACTAAGACGTATTTGAAAAAGCATTATTTATTCTTCTAAATGCAGAACTCACTTTTCCAATGAAAAGACATTTCTCTAGTCTAAACACTTTTAAAGGAAACATGAAAATAAAACATATCATCTTACACTAGACTGTACATCAAAAACTAAGCAGACTCTAAAAATTATTAATTTTTTTATAGTGCTCTATGCATCAGGTAAGTTAGCTACAGGCAATTTCAAATTCACTGTATTCAGTCAGTGAATACACTTGAGGACAACCACTAGTCTCCTTTTAGCTGAAGAATCTGAAAGACTTAAAATCCTTAAACTTTTGTTGTTCCTAACTCAACGCTAAAGAGTCAACACTTGCACTTTGAAACCTGTAACCTGACCAGAACACACATCAGGCAATAATTAAGGCAAGTGGTGTACCAAGCAACTCACTAAAGGTTAATTCAACTCCGTTGATTCTAATAATACATGACAGCAGGTTGGATTTATTTCAGAAGTGTAAGACTTGGATCTAAGGTTTATGGTCATCTCCTAGCCACTGGCATCACAGTCAAACGTACCATTTTGCACTTGGCAGGCAGCCAGGGAGCGTGGGTAGGGTAAGACAGCAGCACAGCAGCAGGGACAAGCATCCAGGGGAAGGCTTACGGGCAGTTAAGGGAAGTATTCTTGTCTATTTGGATACTGCTCTAAAGAGGAAGAGGCAGACTGCCAGAAGGGTAGACTTTCAGCTCTGATGCCAAGTACATTTGTTCATATTGTTAGTTGAAATGAGCTATTAGCAACACATACTGTCATTCTAGTACCTTTTAAAAATATGGCATATCACCCTATGAAATGCTTGTGTATTTCTTAATACAGCTCCTAATCACTAGTCATGACCTGTTTTCCCATTAAAAGATAAGGACTTACCTGAAAACGATCCAGAAATGACTTACCCCCCCACCCCCTGCAAACCAATTAAAATCCCCCAAACAAAGAAAAGCCTTACATGCGTTTCACTTCCATGGCTTCCTCAAGATAATCCTCTGCTAACAATGCTCTTATAAGGGCGTCATAAGAACGATAATGAAACTCATTCTTCCCTTGCATTTTCATGAAAACATCATAGGCCTCTAAAAAAGAAAAAACCAAAAAGAAATGTCATATTGTGATGACACCGATCACAGAACAAAAAAACCCACCTATTCACTGAGAAAGGTCCATCTTCAAACTATTTATCCTTGGCTTACACCTTCAGGCCTAAAGCTGCTGATCACAGCTTGTTCAAAACTGCATGTATACAAAAATCAACACATACTTCCACAGCAGCAGAAGTTTGCTACTGCACTTTCTTTATATGTGGCTGTTGCTTAAATATCAACATCGCTGGTTAGAAGGGGAAGACTCAGGATTTTTACAGCAACACCTAATTCTGGGGTATATCGTTACAGTGTCTGGTGCACGATCACAACAGCATTTAACAAATAATATAGGAGGCGATTCCAATATGGGGAGATCAAATTATTTGGCTACGACAAGATTTACGCAAAACATACAATTTACAAATATACAGATATTTAACAAGTAAACTACGCTGCATTTGTTTGACTGATTAACAGTTTTATTTCATGCATTCACAATAACTGTCACTGTATGAAAAGATGTTACCAAAAAGGGGGAAAAAAATGATAAGCACACTTTTCAGTCATTTATTTTTCTGAAACAAGATTATGCAGCTATAAACATGCAGCTAAAACTGCCATCCAGACTGTAGCGTATACTAGAAAGCTGTTATGAACCATAAATGATCTTTTCCATCTAAACTGTGATTGCATGTTTTATTTAATGACTTTGAAAATAATCCCTTTGCTAATTCAAATCACAGCCATGATAACCTTTAAAACTAGTATCAGAAATAGTTGGACTATCACTACGAATTCACTGCTAAGTGTTAAGGTTTTGTCTTACACTTTCAAAGTAAAGATGAGGACAACTCATTTGAATCTTAATGTCACAAGAAGCATCAAACTAACAACACTTATTACAGGGTGTTGTGGAATTTGAACCAAAACTGTTGGTATGCCTTTTGGTTTGAATCTTAAACTTCTTCAGCCAAAGAGTATACCTAAAATCATCCTGAAATGTAGGCACAGAAATGACTATGCATAAAATTTACAACACACGAACTCTTACACTGAGTTAATAATCAGAATTAACATTGCCATTTGTAATCTACTTTGGATGCTTAGAACTACATTAAATATATATATACATACATGCATACATATATATGAACAGAGATAAAGGATAAGAGTATCACAGTAAAAATCACTTTTGTGTATGTTTCATGTATGCAAGAGAGACATGAGAGTATGACCTTACAATACTGACTATACTGTCAACCAAAACACCAATGAAATAACAACAGGATGATACAGGAAAGGTCTTGAAATCCTCCACCACTTCTACTCATAGATCTGAAGTTAAAGCTTGGCCTGCAACAGTGTGCTGAACTCTCCTGCCTGCTCAGATGCTGAACATCAGCACTTATAGAGTGTGCACACTTGGTTTCA